AAGTATTTATTTTAAGAATATTCCCAAATGTGATACTGCACACCTCTAATCCCCGCCTTCAGGAAACTGATACAGGTGAATCACGATGAGTTCACCATTCAGGCTACAGGGCTAGGCTCAAGGCTAGGCTAAACTATGTAGTGAGACACCATTAAAAACAAAAACAAAAAAAAATGTCATAGTAAAGTTACATGTGAGAACACACTATTAGACAAATGTATGTGCATAAATGGGGAACTTACCAATTTCTTTATTGAGTGTGCATCCAATATAATCACTGGAATGAAGTATGCTTTATGACATACAGATATGTTCATGTAAATGAAACAATTGAATCAAAGTACCAGGAAAACAAAAATATAATTCAAAACTAGACAAAGATAGAAAGAAAATTGCAGTGCACACATTTAAAATGATGCAGTAGTTTCCTCTGAGACGAGTATAATTACTGTGTACATTCTTTATTCTCTGATGTAGCTTTTAGTGTTTGCTTATGCAGCACATATACTAAAATTCTATATAGTTTTTTGATTTTCAATAAATAGCATGCTCTACTTTTTAAGAACAGCAATGACATTTGGTCTTTAAGTTTCTTTGGAAGTCATCATTAAGAAAAATAAGGTATAATTTTTAATGTTTGCCATCGAATCCCTGAAGGTGGTCAAATTCTCCTACAAATCATACAGAAACTTTAAAGAAAATAATAATAAAATTAACATCTAATGACTGGGTTTTTGTTTTTGTTGTTGGCATTTGTTTATTTTTGTCTTTTTGAGACAGGGTGTTGCTATGCAGTTCAGGCTGGCCACAAGCTCATTTTGTAACCCAGACTGGTCTAAAATTTGCAACAGCCCTCCTGCCTCGGCCTCCATAGTATGACACTAATGAGAGTTCATATAACGTTATAAAAGAAATTACTAATCCATATTGTATTAAAAGTTAAAAACATACAGAACATAAAGTTTTCAGCTTTATAGTCTTTTCCTGTGATAATCTGTCACAGGAAATAATATTTTTAAAGAATGACCGATTATTGTTTCCAAAAAATGAATCAGTGAGCCTTTTGAAATCTAAGTGTATGTTTTCTCTAAAGTATCATACTGTAGCCCAGAAAGAATTTAACTAAAAACTAAAAATTTTATATGTTTATTGTGTACAACCTGATGTTGTGAAATATGTATTAGCTGTAAAATGGCTGAAATAATTAAAATGCTGTAATCTCATACGTGCATCATTTTACGTGTTGAAAACTTGTAAAATCTACTCTTCTTTCAATGTACAAGAACATAATACATTGTTATAAATTATAGACATCAGGCTATAAAATAGATCTCGGGAACACAGATCTCCTAAATGAAATTTTACATTATTTCAACAATATCTCTCTAAAGAATGAATGAGCTCCTCCAAAATTCATTTGTTGGTATTTAAACTCCAAAGAGATGGTAGGATATGGGGCCATGGGATCCAAAGGATCCTTACTTCAAAAATGCGATTAATACCTTTATGGAAGAGATTCGTGGTCATACAATTTTTTCTGCAATATGAGGATACAGAATTTTTCTCTGTTTGTCAGATGAAACCACAGGAAAAAGATGTTATGCTGAGAATAGGCCTTCACTGGACCCTAAATCTGCCACACTTGATCACTGGCTACAGAGCTTCCTGTACCCAAAGAAAATATATTTCTGTTCTTTACATTGGAAAGAACGGCTGTAGCTTATTGGGCAGTCTCAGGTATTCTGTAATTGCACCACAAGTGGGCTAAGATATTCTTTAACCTCTAAATAAATTTCAGAGGCAATTTTATTGTTTACTTAAAAATTAATATCACCTTCTCCTTCAGCCTTTTCCACTTCATATGACAAACATGGATTTGCTTTTCAAATGCACTGTCTTGGATGTCTCACTAAAACTACTTGTAGTTTCATATAAAAATTCTTCTATAATCAAAAACTACTATGTTAGATTATCATATCCACCTGGATTGTGTTATTCAAATAGAACTCTACTCTGTAAATTAATTGTCCTGAAATTTAGCAAATGTCCATGAGCCAAGACAACAACAAAACAAAAACTGTATGGCAGCAGAGGATTCATAGGCCACTTCTTAAGTCAGCTATTGGGTATTGGTCTGTTCTTAATTGTTACAGCAAAATTTCCTAGTCTGGGTATCTTTATAAAGCAGAAAAATGTATTTAGCTTACAGTTCTGGAAGTTCAAGAGCACAGTACTGGCATCAGCTTAGCTTGAGTGAGGACACCATGGCTCTTGCATCACATTCAAGGAATCACATGCAAGAGCAAGAGACCACGTCATAAGTTACTAAGCCAGATTGAGGGGAGTGAGGCCTCCAGTAATGGGCTTCCATTAGATCCTCTAAAAAGTACCTCGCCAAAGACCAGATTCTACTCTGAAAAACTTTGGGATTAGACCATAGTACTCAGAAAATGAAAATCAAATTTCTTTGCGTAGATTTGGAGGAAAAGAAAAAAAAAAAAAACATAGTACTACTCAGACTTTCATTGTCATCAATATGCAAATACTTTATCAAACTAACACTAGCCTCCATATATGTTTTCAAATTATAAAAAGATTTATTAAACAATGATTCATGACATTTGTTAACATAACCTCTTTTACATATTAAGTGAATTCACCTTAACATTCAACCATTGGAAGGGAAGCAATTCTCCCTAACTCATTCCTGGAAACAAGAATTATCCTAATACCAAAACCAGAGAAAGACCCAGACAAAAAAGGGAATTATAGGTCAATCTCCCTAATGAAAGTTTATGGCACAAACCAAAAGATACAGGATGTTTCATGTTATATATAAAGTCAAATCTTAGAGAATAGTCTTGAGAACTAAAGAGGGGCCTTAAAAGAAAATATGTGAAAATCCCAATAAATTCTGGAACAAAAAGAAGCAAAACTCATCCAAGCCTGAAGTGTAGATGAAGTATACTCTATGCTTCTTGCTAGAATAAACTGATAGGCAGATTTTGAAATGATAATGTAAATGAAATTAGGTGTTTCCTAAAGGAAACAGAGAATTCGTTTCGACCTAATGAACTTTATGACCTTTTTTTAAAAATTGAAATCTCCAGATAAATGCAGGTAAAGCTACCATATAATTTTCTTAGCAATATTATACTAGTTTTGAGGATGGATTAAATACATCATTAAGTATTTTCATTCAATGTTCAATACTGATTTGTATTCTCTAGAAAATGGGCAGGTCCCTTTAAATTATCTCCTCCATTCATCTCTCTTTAAAAAAAGAAAAAAGAAAAACCACACATCTCTCAGTAACAGCAGATACAGATGGTGAAGCTTGAAGCTCAAATACGAATCGCTGTCTCATATCATTGCTTGTGGTTGAAAAATACTGAAGTCCCTGAATAACAGGAGCAGAGAGGACACCAGGAAGAATCGTCTTCTAGTGTGTCTCACACGCACCGAGGCTCAGCTCTTCCACCTGGACCAGACCCCAGGGGCAGCAGAAACCATAAACGGATGCAGGTATCGTATCACCAAGGTGGATCCAGTGTGCTTCGTGATTATGGTACACAGCACAAAGAATGGAGATTTTTAATTCGGTAAATTAAATCTTGAAGACAATAATGCTGTCCATGTCAGATTTAGATGTTCCTTATGAGTGAATTATGCCCTCTAAATGTTTCGTGACATCATTAATATAACAATTCTTTTAGCAAATATTTCCAGTACAACTTTGGTACTGACCAAGTGTCAATAAAGCAATTTCTATTCTTACAATAGAGAGGGTAAAGTTTGGGCAATTCAAATGTTTATTTAATTAATTATATATTATTCTTTTTTGTAATACTTTATGTGTTTTATATCTATATCTATATCTATATCTATATCTATAAATGGCCTATTGGTTAACATAGCTTCCACATTATTGAGATATTTATATAAAACTGTGTTTCCTTATGGAAAGTTTTCTCATGAAAAATTATTCAGTATTACTAAGTGAATGTTTAACCACAGGTAGATATATTGATACAGATGTAGATATAAACATACATACAATTTAAAATGGTTTTTATAAAAGATTTAGTAGGTTATAACCCCTGAACATACAGCTTGTAAAGAAAATATAATCTTAGGGTCAAGGGTATAAGCTCATCAGTACCAGTGCCTGGCCAGTGCAAGGTTGTGAGTTCAATCCCCAGTACAAAAAAAAAAAAATACAAGAACATATAATTAGATGGTATACTGGAAAGTGTAATTTTTAAAAAAAATTTTTATGGAGTCAGATTCTACAATTTTTGTTATAAAAACATTATCTAAATGCTTGAAACAAACATTTTCAGAAATTTTCAAGTAAAGTAACTATTTCAAAAAAAATGATTTTTTCTAAAAAGAAAATTCCAGTGTTACAGGTATGACACAAGACTGCAACTAAACCAATTTCTGTCCCAAGTGACATCTGTGACACATTGGAAAGGTGGCAAGAACTCTTTAGAATTAAGGCAAGTAAAATGTTTGAGTCTTGCAAAATAATAATTATAAAGATGACAATATTTTGAAAAAATGTTCTAGAGAGAACAGGAAATAAATTTTAAGTAATTTCTCAACAATCTATATTCTATATTTGCAATGTAAGTGACTCAAAAATATTTTCTTGATATTATTATGTATGTGTATAATTTTTCAGGGACATGTAAATGTATCATAGGTCACAAAATTTATCCTTTCAAAATTAAGGAATATAACATAAAAATAATAAAGCAACATATGTAGAGAATCCGATGTTGTGGTTGAAATCACAATACCCATTTATGTAAATAAACATATAAGTAGCTGATAATTTTAAGAATACGAAGAACATCCAAGGGAAAAAAGTCTTTCTTGGAGGGAATAAGTAAAACTTCAGACATCACTGGTAAGTGAGATGAAATATTCACCTCAGTGTCATACAGAGAACTCAGGACAGAACCTGAAATTTTGGTTTGAAAACTGTTAGTTTATATATCTTTTAGAATCATATCCGCAAATTTCTCAGAGATGGATGAAGAATACCCAACATTTGCACAGGTGGGGAAACCTCTTACTTCCAAGAAGCGCATGCAAAAGAATAGTGAGTATTTTTCTTCCCCAACTTCTACAGTCTTGATTATTTTCTGTAAATAAATGTTCAAAATAATCCCATTATAATTTAGAATATGATTTGTATTTACCTCATTTCCAAGATTTTATGACCTAAAAGATTTCCATGATAGACTTTACAGGGAAATAAAATGTTTGCATAGCTTTCCTGTATTTGAAAGAAATCCTATGTGTTAGCTCTCTTCACACACTGTACACTCCATTCTTTATATTACCAGAGAAAAAACAGCAGGAAATTTACTCAGAAGTGGAAGAATATCCTTTATACATGAACCAAACAAAGATAAAAACTGAATCACCTAAAGAAAAAGGTAAGGGCTCTACAGCCTCGCTATCCTTCATAATCTTAGCCTATGTGTAAGCAATTAAAGTAAATCAGAAATGACTGCTGTAAATAACCAATTAGCTTACTTCACTTCATAAGACTGCTCAAACTATATCCAAAAACATACATGAAAAAGAAAAACTGAAAGCCAAACAGCCAAGTTTAGTATATAAAAATTAAAAACATCATACCAAAGTGATTTATGTGCACCCATGTTTATAGCAGAAAATTTATAATAGTTAACTCTTGAAAATAACCCGGCCTTTCAAATGAAGAATGGATAAAAAAAACCCGTATTTTTAAATAAACATAATGCAGTATTACTCAGACATTTATAGATAAATACATGCAATTTGAGATCATAGCCATAAACTGATACAAATGAGATCCATATACATAAGTATAGTATTGTCTCACTAGTGTGGAAAGATGAATGAGTAAATAAGATTCAAAAGGGACAGTAGATATTGTGAATTGGTAAGAAACTATTTAAAAGAAAAGAGTAACTGATGGGGGATGAAGAAAAGGGAAATATATATATGTATATGATATATATATACACACACATACACACACACACACACACACATATATATATATATATATGTATATACAAGATAATTAAGACAGTAATACAGTGAATTTCTCTTAGTTGACTGAGAAGAAAAATTGGTGTTAGTAGTTTTGGGCACTATTTCATGCCTATATATTGCACTCTGAGTAACTTCTATGAAGATAAGCATACGCAATGTGTTAATTGTTGTTACACTATTAGTGTAATGTGAAACTGTTTTATTTTATTTCTATTTTCCTTCTTCTCTTTAAAATTAAAAATAATACAAGTTACATATATCACAAAGAATACTGGTGTAGTTAGGTTCCAGTTTCTATATATACTGATTGATACAAAAATTAAAATTTTCCATTTGTTTAGAAACAGTGGTAAATCTCCAACTGTTGAACATGCGTTCTGTGAAATTTCACCAAACTGTATTATGATTAGCAGTATTTGTCATACATTTGTGATTATCGTTTCTTCTGTACATTACTGTGGCTATTCTTTATGATGAAGAATATTAGACCAATTCCAACGTGAAAGTTTTGATTTGTATATAAGTATAGAGGCACAAGGTATTTATTAAATAATATCCCTTCTTATTGGTCAATAAAATTAATCTATACAATAGTATTTTAGAAAAATTTGCTTTTGTATACATTTCTGTACATCCAATATTCTACTTTGCATTCTGAAAATATTGAGAAAAACCAGGGGATTACATTGGTACAAAGCGACCTCCCTAGAGATGCGCGGTAACTATAGTGAGCAGAGCTCGGTACCTGACTCTCACTTCATTGTTCTTTCACGCTGGTCCTTATCTATTTCCAGTTTGAAAGCGCCCAAGAGCTAGGGTGCTGAGCTTCAGGGATTTCTTCCATAAACCTGCTGTGTCATTCAATCCTCTCTGCCTCTTTCTTTCCAGAGTCTTCAGTTCCCATAGCCTGGCGGCTCACGGTAATGATTCTTGCAAGCTTGTGCTTCTTTCTCTTTTTGACAAATGGAGTGCTGGGTTTCATGGGTAAGTCACTAGGTATGGAGCTTAAAATAATTGTCTCCTCATAAGGAGGTACTTTATTGTGTCATCATTTATTTGGACATTTAAATGCATTTTCCCAAAGAGTCATTAATTTGGTTTGATGAGAAAGTATTCTAAGTAATTCCAAACTACCCATTGCCAGTACCTGAAGGTATTGTAATATTAAGGAAAATGTATAAAGTAAGTACCATTACATAATTATATAGGAAGAGACAAACTGACATCTCTTAAAGGAAGGTAAATATATAAATTTAGTATAAAAATACAGAAAACCAAACACTGAATTTGAAGCTTCAAAAACATCAGTTTTACTATTTTAGCTGTTTTTATCTGTTACAAGTGTTTTATGTTTTATAGCAGCATGTTATAGAACTGACTCCTTTAAAGCATCATTATTTGTTTCTACTGTAAAATTGATCTGTTGATCCTGCAAATTTAAATATATAATTATAATAGTAGTTTCAAGTATGTAAACTGATAATATATCTGTGAGTCATACAAAAATGCAATTATATTTATTTCCCTAAATCTGTATTCTGAGAATTGTGAAACCATATTTAAATCTCGTTCTGTATAGTCTCATTAAGTATATGCAAGACTATACATTTTATTAATATTATTCACTAACAGAATTGTTTGGGCAACGATATTGTTTCAAACCTTTGTCTATTTCGATAGAGATCTTAAGCTAATGAAAAGTTTTATTTATACTATAGATGTACTAGAAAAGCCTAGAATTTCATGAATATTTACAATATTTTTGTACAAATGTGTTTTAGATGCTTCTCTGTTTTATTTTTAGTTGTCTTTTTAAAGTTAAATTAACTTTAAACTGACATAAAAAAGTATGAATACTAACGAATTAATGTGACTTTTTAATAAATCTATTGTGTAATCAGGATAAATGTATCAAAATCCTTAAACATTTAGCAAATCTTTATGGCTAAACCATTCCAAATGCATTCTTCCAACTTCTTGAGTTAGATAGTGCATAGTTGCTATCAATATAAACAGAAATGTTTGCAGTCTGTTTCCCCACTTTGTATGTTTCGCTTTTGTATCTTGAACAACTACTTTTAAGAGGACAACATGTAATCATCAAGTAGTGATTTCTTACTGTTTATTTTTTCTTTGAAAGTATGTGTTATTTCTATCAGTTTTCTGTTTTGTTTAGTCTTTCTTTAAATAAATTTTTTTAAAAATAGTCAATAGACAGACACCATGGTGCAAATAGATGTCAAACCTTCCTACTCTTATCTTACCTGATGTTTCCCATTGATGCATATAATCGTATTTCATTCTTTCATGTGGCTGAAAATTGTTCCATGGTGTATATGCACCACATTTTCTTCAGGGATTCGTCGGCTTCTGTTTCCTGATGATTGTGACCAGTGCTGCAGTAAATGTAGGGGTACTGAGGTCTCTTCAACATAATGATTTCATTTCCTTCAGATATCTAGGAGTGAAACTGCTGAATCAAATAGTAATGTTATTTTTTAATTTTTAAAGAAACCTTCACATTAATTTCCGTACTAGTTTTACTAATTTACACTCCTGTGAACAATAGTTAAATGTTTATTTTTCTCCATATCTTGTCCAATACTCACTATCTTTTTTTTTTTTTTCATAAAATCCATCCTTACTGGAATGAGATCTGATGTGTTTTTGGTTTGCGTGACTCTGCAGTTTAGTAGTAATAAGCGTTTTATCACATAGTGTTAGTCAATTGCATGCCTTCTTTTGAGAAATGTCTATATAAACCTATTGCCTTTTTCTAAAATCTGACTGGGTTTTTCTCTTGCTTGTTTTTATTGCTGTTTTCTTTAAGTTACATTTTTGGATTTCCTTACATGTGCTAGTATGGATTAGTAACTAGCACATGTATAGTTTATAAATATTTTCTCTAGTTACATATGTTGTTTCTTCACTTTGATTATTGTTTCTTTACTGTATGGAAACTTTTTAGTCTAATTTCATTGGTTGATTGTTTTGCTTTTTTTCCTGTCCTTTTATCAAAAAATTCCTTGCCTGTTTCAATGTTGTAAAGCATTTACTGTATGCTTTCTTTTAGTAGTCTCATATTTTCAGATCTTATAATTTTCTTTAATCCTTTTTTACTTCATTACTGTAACAAATGAGAAAGAAGGGACCAATTTTCATTCTTCAACATGTGGAGACCCAATTTGCACAGCACTATGTGTTATAAAGTCTGTTCTTTCTACGGCATGTGTCCTAAGAAACTTTGTCAAAAAAATCAATCTGTTACGATACACAGAATGAAATTTAGGCTTTCAGTTCTGTTCCTTTGGCCAATATGTTTGTTTTCATATTATGATCACTATAGCTTTGTAGTATATTTTGAAATCATATAGTTCAGCAATACCTACTATGTACTTTTTGCTCAATACTGTTTTGGTCATTCAAGGTATTCTATTTTTTTGTTTGATTTGGTTTTGCTACCATAATGTTTCTTGTTTTCTTCTAAATAGTTGTTCATATCTTCACACATAGTGAATTCATACAAAACAAAATGGTATCATAGTGATCAGAACAGAGTAATAAAGGCATTACAGGCCTTCAAAACCAGACAATAGGAAAATCAACAATAGCCGCCATAATGTTGCTTGTTCTCCTCAAAATAGCTGTCCATGTCTTCATATATGCTGAAATAAAACAATACAAAACAGGCTAAAACCACGCTGGACAAAGAATAAATGCATTACTGGATTTCCCAGCAAGATGATATCAAATCAGTAATGGATACCATAATGTCTCTTTGTCTTCAACGTAGCTGTGTATTTCATCATGCGTAATATAATCAATTCTCATAAACTGTTTAGGATAACTTCTAAGCATGTATAAGCCTCTACACATATACCTCTCTGCATCAGAGGGAAAAACAAAGCAAAACAAAACAAAACAGATTCCTAGAAAAACAAAAAAGACAAAGAAATGACAAGAGCAAAGACCTCAAATCAATGATGATATAGGCCTTCAAAACAAGGTATTACTTTACATAATGATCTTCAAGAGTTCCTCAGGTCACCAGACACAATCACGCAAAATTGTTCCACTCTTATGAAAGTTAACTGTTTTGTTCCAAGAACTTATAGAATTCATAGCACAATCATCTTAGCTACCCTAAGTGTGTTTATATAATTTTAGATATTTTTCCCTTCCTTTTTCTTTTCTCTCTTTTCCCCTGAGATATTACTTTTCCCCTTTGAGCATATTCTTATCCTTTCCCTGTATGAATGAGGATTTTGTATCTTAAGTACCCCTACCATTTCTTACACTAGGGAGACTATTGTTGTTTACACATGTGAGTTTGATTTATTTCACTTCTGAGTATTCTCTCAAATTGTGTCCATTTGCTTATAAATATCTCAATGTGATCAATCTTTATACATGAGTAGTATTCCATTGTATAAAAATACCACATATTTTTTTTCCATTTCTTAGTTGATGGACACTTAGGTTGTTTCCAAGATCTGGCTATTACAAATTGTGCAGCGATAAACATAGGTGCACATATATCACTGTGGCATGTTTTCTTTTCTTCTGGGTATATGCCAGAAGTGGAATAGGTGGGTCAAGTGGGACTTCCAATCCCAGTTTTTTGAGGAACTTCCAGACTAATCTTCATACCTTCATATTGGTTGAACCAGTCTGTACTCCCACCAACAGTGCAAGAGTTCCTTTTTCCCCATAGCCTCTCTAGCATTTGTTGTTGGTAGTTTTCTTTATACTAGCTATTCTTTCTGGAGTGAGATGGAATCTTGGTGTGGTTTTCATTTGCATTGCTCTAATGACCAGTGATGCTGAACATTTTTTCATGTATTTATTTGTCATTTTTATTTCTTTATTTGAGAACTGTATAATCATCTCAGATGGGCCTTTGAATTTTGGGGATCTGATTTTTTAAAAATTCTTTATACGTTTTAGACAGAAGTTCTTTGTCTGAGAGACAGTTCACTAAGATTTTTTTTCAATTTGTGGGTTTTCTTTTCACTATGCTAGATATTTCTTTTGACGTGCAAAACTTTTAATGAGACATAATCCCTGTTTTTGATTCTGGAAAGTATGTCTCATGCAGTTTGATTTTTGTTCATGAATTCTCTACCTACGCCTATGTCTTCAAGATTCTACCTACTTTGTCTTATAACACATTTAGTGTTTCTGTTTTAATATTTAGATCTTCAATCCATTTAGACTTTAGTTTAGTACATGGTGATATGCATGGTCTAGTTTTAGTTTTTGGCATATGGAGAGCCAATTTTTCCATCACCATTTATTAAAGAGACAATCGTTCTTCCAGTGAACATGTTTGGCTCCTTTAAAAATTAAGGTGCCTGAGTCTGTTTGTAGTTGTAGTTGGATCTCCTAATCTATTCCATTGATCTTCAGGTCTGTTTTTATCCAAGTACCATGCTGATTTTATTACAGTAGTTTATAACTTTATAGATAAGCTTCAAGTTAAGCATTGTGATGCCTCTTGCCTTTCCTTTGTTGCTCAGAATTGCCTTTGCTATTAAAGGCCTTTCCTGGTCCCAGGTGAATTTAGAAATGATTTCTCTAGATCCTTGAAGTATTTTGATTTAAATTGCATTAAACCTGTATAACAATTTTGGGAGAATGACCATTTTCACAATATTTGTTCTTTCTATCCATGAACATGGAATGTCTTTCTATTTTCTGAGATCCTCTTTGATTTCTTTTTCAGGGTATTATAATTTTTCCTGAATAGATGTTTTGTTCTTTTGTTAGAATAATTTCTTTTTTTTTAAAGAGGAAAAAGAGAAAAACACAAAACAAAACAAAGCAGTGTAAAGTTACACATAATACAGAACTACAAAAAAAAAGAACATAACAGTAAGAAATCACCTGTTAATAGATTACATATTATCATCTTGGAAATAGTTGCTCAAATCACAGTATCAAAGAATACAAAGTAGACATTCAAACAGAGAGACTGCAAACAG